TTATAATTTTGGATCTTTATTTATTTTGTTTGCTTTGTTTTGGTAGTGGGCACAAGTGCTTGCCAGAGAGAAAGACAATGAGAAAGAGAGGAGACAGCATCTCCCCCTTGAGGAATAGTCACATGGCAGTCTCTTCTCCTCTCACTCTCCTGTCAGGATTTTGGGTATGCATGCATTCATGCTCATTATGTTTTTTAAGCTGGGACTTGAACCATGCAGTTGGTCATGTTGGGTCTAGCTGCCTTGTTTTATGTTTAACGCTGATCCATTTTGAGTTAATTTTTTAATACAATGTAAGATAAAAATGTATTGGCACTCTTTCACATGTGGTTATCCAATTTTCCCAGCACCATTAATTGAAATGACTATACTTTCCCCATATTGTATTCTTTTTAAATTTTTTTAAGAGAGATTTTTGCCATAGGGTGCATGCACTCACTAGAGAGACAGACAGAAAGCAAGAAATCACCCTCCAGGGGAGATGGCCATGCCACAATCCCTCCTCCTCCATTTCCTCTTGGGATTTTGGGCATGCGCACACATGCGCCCAGCATGAGTTTTAAGTCTCCGGACCTGAGACTTGAACCACAGTCGGTTATGCGAGAGTCCAGTGTTGTAACCATTATGCCATCTGCTGGACCTGCCCCCTTCTTTATATTCTTGGCACTCTTAAGAAGAGTTACCCTGTATATATTGTGTGTTTTTATTTTGGGGCCATTTGTTTCCCTTGGTCTGTGTGCCTGTATTTTTATGTATTTATGTATTTTTATGTCAATACCATGAATCTTTTGATTGCTATTTAGGTTTAAATCAGAATCTTGAAAAGATATCTGCACATTCATGTTCATTGCAGCATTATTCACAATAGTCAAGGCATGGAAACAACTTAAATATTTATTAAACAAGTGGATAAAGAAAACATGATTTATACATACAGTGGGGTATTATTCAGCCTTAAAGAAGAAGGAAATTTGCCATTTTTGACAGTGGGGATGACCCTATAGGATATTATGTTGTACAAAATAAGCCAGATATCAAGGAACAAATACTACAAAATAACACTTACATAAAGAATATAAAATAATTAAACTCACAGAAGCAGAGAGTGGTTACTAAGGAGTAGGAGGGAGAGGGGAATGGGGTGGTATTAGTTAAATGATACAAAGTTTCAGTTATGAAAGATGGAGATCTACTCTAGCACAATGCCTGCAGTTAATAATACTGTTATGTATAAAAGGTGATAAATGATATAGATCATGATGATATTTTCACATATGTATGCTTATCATCAAAGTTATTAACTTGTATATATATATATTTGTGTGTGTATCAATCATACTTCAACAAAATGGTTTAAAATAAATAGTTGGGGCTGGCAAGTGACATGGTGATTAAGGTGTTGGACTCCCACATGACTGACCATGATTTGAGAGTCCTGGACCTAGCAGGTTGCTTTTTCACTTTCTCTCTCTCTCTCTCTTTCTCAGTTTCTCTCTGGTCAAATTAGAAAATAATAATGATGAATAAAATAAAATAATTATTTAAAAAATAGTGATTCTTATTGGAGGGAGAGGGGAATGGGGTGGTATTAGTTAAATGATACAAAGTTTCAGTTATGAAAGATGGAGATCTACTCTAGCACAATGCCTGCAGTTAATAATACTGTTATGTATAAAAGGTGATAAATGATATAGATCATGATGATATTTTCACATATGTATGCTTATCATCAAAGTTATTAACTTGTATATATATATATTTGTGTGTGTATCAATCATACTTCAACAAAATGGTTTAAAATAAATAGTTGGGGCTGGCAAGTGACATGGTGATTAAGGTGTTGGACTCCCACATGACTGACCATGATTTGAGTCCTGGACCTAGCAGGTTGCTTTTTCACTTTCTCTCTCTCTCTCTCTTTCTCAGTTTCTCTCTGGTCAAATTAGAAAATAATAATGATGAATAAAATAAAATAATTATTTAAAAAATAGTGATTCTTATTTTAACCAAGAAAATTCTCAACCTATCTCCTATCAACAGTTTAAGTATGTGTGCTCACTGAATTCCAGCACTGTTACTAGTCTAATCAATCTACAGTTCTGAGTACTAGTATGTGGCTAGAAAGTCAAATCATGCTAAAAGCAAATATGAGTACATTTTGATTATGTCTATCACTTTGGGTTGTGTTTTAGCTATATATTACAGAAAAACTTAAAATAGCAATGGCTAAAAACAGTTTATTTCTCTCTCATATAAAAGAAGTTAGGCAGCTTAGAAGTAGATTGACAGTGTCACTTTGTCATCAGAGACTCAGGTTTCTTTTTTTCCTTCTCTGTCATACTTGCTTTCATACCATCCAAGATGAATTCTAGCCATCATTTTTATATTCAGGTTGGCAGCAGAAGGAGGCAGGAGAGAATTGACAATAGACTATTTGTTTCTTCCCTTTAAGGAGCTTTCCAGGAATTCCTACCTTACATTTTATTGGTTAAAACTTAATTGGATGGAGAAATTTAATTTCAAGAGAGGATGGGATGTTAGTATTTTAGTTAGCATGCTCTTCATGATTATGATAAAAAGAAGGAAAGTAAAAATGGATATTGAGAGCCAATTCTCAATTCTGCCAAAATATTGTTAAAATGGGTGAGAGCTTATAGTCTTTGGAAAATCACAAGTGCACTGTGAGTAAAGTCATATAGAATTGGATTTCACTCTTTATGGATAAATGTTTGAAAACATATCACTGCCCAGAGTCATTCTTCTGTGTGAGTATATATATATATATATATACACACATATATATACACTGGACTACACCCCATCTGGAGAAATCATGGTGTGTGTGTGTGTGTGTGTGTGTGTGTGTGTGTGCACAAGATGCTAAATTATTTTAAATTTTACACCCAGTGCTTAAAAATGCTCTTATTTTGAACCATGATAGAGTTTTTCTAAGATTTCTACAGGATCTTAGAGATAAAATACAGCCTATATCCTTGAAAAACTCTGGAAAGTCTATAAACAGCAATTCATAAGAGAATAAATATAAGTAGTCATCAGCATGGTAAATTCTTTGCCTTATCAGTAATCAAAAAAATGTAATTTAAAGCAAAACCAAGATATAATTTTTATACTATGGAGTTAGCAAAATAAAAGTTAAGGCCTTAAGTTTATTAGGGTAGTCTTAAATATTTTTGGTTGTAGAATAAATGATCAGTGCAGCCTCTTTTTCCCCTCCCTTTTTTATGAGAGAAGAGGGAGAGAGACAGAGATAGATATTTTTTGATAGTTATGCCATGCTACAATCCTACTGTGCCAGCCTCCCAATTAGCTAGGTTACAGGCACACATAACTGCACTGTGTATGTTCAGGTCAGGAACTGGATCAGGGCCTCCCATGTGGCTTCCAACCTCCCAAATGGTGATGTTACTTATATGCCACGGTAGCGGAGCCCAGCAAGATAGATTTTTTAGATAGCAATTTGGAAATTCTATCAAGAATCTTAAAATGACTTATATTCATTGGCTAGGTAATTCTACTTTTTGAAATCTTTAAGGAAATAATTGTAAAAAGTTAAAAATCTTTATGATAATAGCTAATACTTGCTGAGTTGTTACTCCATGCTAATATTGTTCATAACTCTACATAATCCTTACAAGTTTTTAATAAGATAGTTATACTATGTCATCCTTCTCCTTATTCCCATTTTTGACTAGATGAAACTGAGGAGTAGACATTAAAAAACGTTCTCACTTACAAGTTTTTAATAAGATAGTTATACTATGTTCTCACCTTTGCAGATGTGGGGTTTGGCTTCTGAAATTTGATACCAATGTCTACATGTTTAACCATCATGTTATACTGTCTCTAAATATTGCTTTGGGTTTCCAGTAGCATTATTTCCAGAGGGAGTATGAATAGCAGGATAGTAAGAAAACTATAGAACTTGCTGGAATTTTATGCATATGTTAAATTTTTTAACTTAAAGGACTAAAATATGCTCACAATATGTTAGATGCAGACATAGGATATAGCATTGTTTATAAAGAATAATTACAGTACTATAAAAATATAATTCTTAGAATTTTAAAAAATGGGAACAAAATACACCAAAAATGTTAATATTTCCTTATAATAGACTAATGGCGCTCTGGTTAAGTTTTTTCCTTTACTTTCCAGATTGCCTTTAATGAGCATGCATGGTTTCTATAATGAAAAAAAAATTGAGATAACTATGTCCAGGATTAGAGAGAAGCTACATAAAGTACAATTTTTGGCTTTGTGTTAGAATTGACCTGTGGCTAAACAAAGTTGTCAGAGTAGCAACCTAGCTTCTCTGTTATACTGCCCCTTTTTATAATTTCATGACTGTCTTGCAGTATGCCACTGTATTTCCTTTAGAAGGATCGAACTTTGACATTATAGTTATCTGAAGATATGTACAACTTCCGTATTTACATTAATCTTTATACAATAGGTGACTTGGTAATCCAGTGGTTTATGGGAACCTAGAAAAGGAGCTTTTTTTTTTTTTTTTTTGAGAGGTTTTTTGCTATAGGGCGCGTGCGCTTGCCAGACAGTCAGAGAGAGACATAGAGACAGAAAGCGAGAAATCACCCCCCAGGGGGGATGGTCACGCCGCAATCCCCTCTCCTCCATTCTCCTCTCGGGATCTTGGGCGGGCACGCACGCACACGCGCCCGGCTTGAGTTTTAAGCCACCTGGTCCGGGATGCGAACCACAGTCGACTACGTGGGAGTCCAGTGACATAGCCATTATGCTAACTGCTGGTTCCTGAAAAGGAGCTACTTTAAGTGGAATTCGCCATCATTATTTTGAGTATATGGCTTTTGTTCACTTGCTTAGAGTTTTTGGAACTCATAATTCAATTAAATATAGTTGGGAAAAAGAGCCTGTCACTATGAAGAAGTTACATAAAAATTTGCCACATACCCTTGTGTGATATGATAGATGTGATACTTTTTACTTATGCCTATTCTTAGCTTCTTGCTTTCCTGTAGCTGAAAATCAGGGCCTTGTAGCTTTTTTGATGAAGAAGACCAGAATGAGGATAAGCAAGATGAGGCATCTCAGTCCTGAGTCACAATGAAGGTAAGTACAAATTCTTGATAAGCAGAAAGGGATGGTCTGTGTCATGTATACATATGCAGGAGCTCATCTGGAGAAAATGGGATAGAGGACAATTGATAGGGGGCAGCCATTTCTTTCTGTGGAGTTAGATTTTTCTTACCATTATTTGTTTGAGAATAATTCAATAATTGCAGTAATAGTAATAGCATAGAGAGGATAGTAACTTTCTCAGTGTCTTAAACATAGAAATTATTCAGCAGAGTTTGGAATTCATGTTTGGTGCAAAATTTTTTGCTCCCCAAATACCTCATTAGTATTTAATGTAATTTTTAAATTTATTATTTTATTTAAAAGTTTGTTTCCTGAGAGAGAGAAGGAGAGTGGGTAAGAGGAAGAGAGAGAAGCATACCAACAGGGTTCCCACACCATAATTCTCCTGATAGCCCTATAGCAAGCCTAACCATATGGCCTCCATCATCTCGCAGAAGTACCCTTACTGCCTGGGCTACCACAACTGGGCCATATTTTATTTTTCCTTTGTAATAAAATATGTCTCTTATTCATATTCAGTTGTTTGAGCTTCTCACTTAAATTATGAATAAAAACAGAGGTGGAATTAAATTTCCTAAATTAATGTGCAGGAGAAAACAGATTTAAATAATCTTAGCCATTATTAATAGTAATTATTTTGAATGGATTTTTTTCCAGAGCATTTTTTTCTGCACTTGAATATCAATTTTGAAATTGGGTTCAATAAAAAGAAATAGAGACTGGGCCAGCAGGTGCTATGGTAGTTGGTAGTTTAGGTGCTGAATCCCATATGGCTGAACCCATGGTTTGGATCCTGGACCCAATGGTTTGAAAAACATGCTAGGCACATGTGCATACATATGTGTCCAAAATCCTAAGAGGAGAATAGAGAAGAAAGGATTGTAATGTGGCTATCCCCATTGGGGGGTGATTTCTCATTTTCCCTCACTTTCTGTCTCTTTCTGATGAGTGCATCAGCTATGGCAAAAATCTGTGAAAAAAAAAAAGAGGCTAATATTTAGTTATCATACTATAATGTATTCTTTTAAAGCCTAGTAGATAATTATCTATAGTTTAAATAGTCTTAGAATGGACAATTTCTATAACAAGTGTTTAGTAAGTGACTGTTTCAGTATCTAATAAAGCACAGCTGGAAGAATGGTTGGATTCTCATATTCCTTACACTCCTTTTATCAAAGATTATAATATTAGCCACTTATAAAATAGACTCTCAGAGATTAAAAAATAAGCAAAAATCACTTTTATTACTTTTTCCGTTACTCTTCTAGCTAAATTTGTTGATCATTATAGTGTCTTGGGTTCCACAGTAAACCTCCTATATACATTCTGTTGTTTATAATACCATAATTCCATGAAGTTGGCATTATTATATTTTATAGATGAGTAGTAGTTAAATAAGATTAAGTTACTTGCCAAAGTTGCTTAGTAAATGCTAGGTGAAGAACTTAAATCCAGGTCTGTCTGTATTCAAAGCCTGTTTTCCCGTTACGGTATGTGGAGATGGTATTTTATCTGTAGGATAGATTTCCTATTAGGCTTTTAGTCTGGGAAGGATGAATCCTGAATCTTGTCAGGATCATTCTTAAACCGAGAAGACAGAAATCAAGTTTTAATGTAGAGAACAGTGGAATGGTATTTGAACTTTTAAAGAAGTGAGTCTTCTTTCTTTAACTCATAATTTATTTTTTAGTTATTTTTGCATGACAAACAAAAGGATATGTTTCCAATAGGTATATGAGATTTTTTTTTATACTCAGCCTTCCATTCTACTCTTAGTTGTCCTTAGTTGTCATTCCACTACATTATTTTAGAACAGGTTTTTTTTTTTTTTTTTTTTTTATGAGGTGGAGGTAGAAAGAAGGGTGGCAATAACTTTTTTTAATGTTTAATCATCTCTTCTGTAGGAGAGAGACAGAGAGATAGTACCCCAACGGGGTGTTGACATCAAAATCCACCCACAGCTTTAGCCAGCCCTGGCTATGCTGTGCCACCATGCTCAGGAAGGTTTCCAGAGGCAAACCTGGAACCTTTTCATGTTGATCAGACTTGCAGAAATGTCTCCTTTTACTGTCACATCATCATCTAGCCCAGCATTTAACTTAAGAAAAAAAAAGTCATCATACTTTTTATCTAAATGACTAAAAATATCTACATTAAAATTTCTGCTATTTCCTGGTGGTATACATGGTCAAGTTACCAAGTTTAGTTATGTACTAAATATGCATTGGCAACTGGAGTATTTCCTTTATAACCTTTTGTTCTTTTATTTTGTAAATAATGGAAAAATTAACCTCAACACCCAGAACCCTGAATTCAGAGTTACTTTCAGACATCAGAGTACATGTTCAACAGGAAGAAGAGCCTTTAGCTCTGAGTTTGGTCCCAGGGTGGGCCTATGTGGAATATTTTTTTCACCTTAAACTAGAGCTGAATAAATGTCTTAAATTGTTGTTGGAAGGTAGATAATTGATGAATACTGTAATAGTTCAAAGAGTTGGCAAAGCATCATGTTAATGATAGGGCTCAATAAAAGAGCGTGGTGGTCTCAGTTTAATCCCTAGCTTCTGGAATAGGAAAGTGAACAGATAGGATGGCAAGTAGTGAGCACTCATTGCCTGTGTGTCATTTGACTTTATTATATGATTGCAGCCTTAACAAGATGAAGGGGAAGAGCTGTACTTGGACACATGGGGACCCTGGACCAAAGAGAACCACTCAAAATTTTCCTGTTTTATGTATTTTACATTTTCTTTGTAAACATTGCAATATTCCAATAAAATTACTTTTGTTGCTTGTTATATTGTAGTCCACACTTATATTTGTGGGAAAGTTCAGTGTACATCAAATTTAAGAACTATGCTTATATTCAGCGATGGGAAGATTGAACTAGAAGATAAGCAATTTGATGAATGAGCATGGAAGGTGGCATGATTTGATGCCCGTTACTAACTGGACAGCCAGAAAGTCTGGGTTTTAATCTTGTCTCAACCAATAACTACTTCTTTTTCTTTTTCTTTTCTTTTTCTTTTTTTTTTTTTTTTTGAGAGAGATTTTTGCATGCACTCACTGGAGAGACAGACAGAAAGCAAGAAGTCACCCTCCGCGGGTAATGTCCATGCTGCAGTCCCTTCTCCTCCATTCTTCTCTTGGGATCTTGGGCATGCATGCATACATTCCCAGTGTAAGTTTTAAACCACTGGGTCTAGGACTTGACCTGCAGTTGACTACGTGGGAGTCCAGCTATGTAACCATTACACTATCTGCTGGTTCCCCAATACTACTTTTTTTTTTTTTGGAGAGATTTTCACTATAGGGCACGTGCACTCGCCAGACAGACAGAGAGAGACATAGAGACAGAAAGCGAGAAATCACCCCTCAGGGGGGATGGTCACGCCGCAATCCCTTCTCCTCCATTCTCCTCTCGGGATCTTGGGCACGCACGCACACGCGCCCGGCGTGAGTTTTAAGCCACCGGGTCCGGGACGCGAACCGCGGTCGACTACGTGAGAGTCCAGCGACATAGCCATTATGCTAACTGCTGGTTCCCCCCCAATACTACTTTTATGAACTTGATTTAGTCAGTTAATCTCTCCGCCCTATGTTCTTCTCTTGTTAGCTAGGGAGTTAGACCAGAATATATTTTAGGGTCTCCTTTACCCTAATATTCTATTATTTTGAAATGATTCACACATATTCATGTAACAGTTATAAAGTAAGTTATACTGTTATCTGTTTTAATTCATTGTTTCTGAAATTGAGTATGATCTACTAGACTATGAGTTTCATGAGGCAAGAACTGCTTGTTTTCATTTACTGTTATATTCTAAACATCTAACACAATGTCTGGAACTTAGTTAATAGTTAACTAAATAAATATTGAATGAATAAATAATTAATTTGTTTTACAACATTAGATTTCATGTCTAATGAAGGGCTAAGTAAAATGTAAGATTACCTAAGATAACTGCATCAGATGACATGGGTTTGCTCAGTTGTGATTGATTATGAAGGATTTGATGAAATGATGCCCATGGAAACTGTTTTTCAGATATGGCACACTTGCAAAAAATAATTTATTCATTCAGATAAGAAATATTGTTACTAACAATAGAATTGGGAGCTTTTTATATTATTCCAATAAACACAATAATTATTATAAGACATCATGATAATTAACCTACTAGGAAGTCTGAACAAGATGAGTTTTAGATTCTTTTTATTAGACAACTTAACGAAGGGATTGGTGATCATGGAATTCACACACTCCATGTTGTACAATATGATTCCACTTTAGGGAACTTTGGAGACAAGATATGGGCTTTTCTTGTATTTATGTAAAGTTTCTAGACTAAGATACTTAAAGCAGTTAAATTTAGTAATAGGTTTTTTTTTTTTCCTTTTTTTTGGTGCTTCATGATACAGCATCTTAGGTTCTCTTTTCTATATGCCTTTAAATATCTAGTCTAAAGTCACAAAAGAAGAAGAGGTTTAGAAGCTTTATACAAAATACAATTGTACTTAATCTCTAAAAGAATTTCAGAGAATGAGAAGAAAATTCTTTCTGTATCTTCTAGATAGGGTTAGTTTTTAACATTTCTAAGAAATTATATACACAAAACCATATGTATTTTCTTCCATTCATTTGCAGATTCAGTTTTATTTTTTGTGTCCATAAGTTGTTTTTTGCCCATAACTGGGATATTCTGTTCCTTGTTCATTCTAAGAATGTGTGTGTTTTAGTTATTCACTATTACATAGTTGATTGTCCAAATAACTAAGACTCCACTGGAATCTAATTGAAATAGACAATGACATACTTTTTGAGAAAATGATCTTTTCCAACTTATTTATCTATTTTTTTGGAGAGATTTTCGCTATAGGGCGCATGCGCTCGCCAGACAGACAGAGAGAGACATAGAGACAGAAAGCGAGAAATCATTCGCCAAGGGGGGATAGTCACGCCGCAGTCCCTTCTCCATTCTCCTCTCGGGATCTTGGGCACGCACGCACACGCGCCCAGTGTGAGTTTTAAGCCACTGGATCCGGGACGTGAACCACGGTCGACTATGTGGGAGTCCAGTGACATAGCCATTATGCTAACTGCTAGTTCCCTCTTTTCCAATTTATTAAAGCATTCTTTATTAAAATAACTGGTAATAACAGTATAATAACAATAAAAGTAATAGTAGCAGTAGTAGTAGAAAAAAGTCCTAAAGAACAAGTTTTCTTTTTTTTTTTTTTTTGAGAGATTTTCGCTATAGGGTGCGTGCGCTCGCCAGACAGACAGAGACATGGAGACAGAAAGCGAGAAATCACCTCCCAGGGGGGATGATCACGTCGCAATCCCTTCTCCTCCATTCTCCTCTCGGGATCTTGGGCATGCACACACATGCGCCTGGCATGAGTTTTAAGCCACCAGGTCCGGGACGCAAACCGCGGTTGACTACATGGGAGTCCAGCGACATAGCCATTACGCTAACTGCTGGTTCCCCTAAAGAATAAGTTTTAAAGTAATTATACTCAGAATAGTTATAAAAACTACCTACTTTTAATTTTTATCTCATTTTACATCATGGGTCTCTCTAACTTTATTTTCCTATGCCCTCGAAAACCTTTTAGTAACCCTTCATCAGTTTTTGTGTAACCCATGTTCCTCAGCATGGCATGTAAGGTACTTCATTATTTCAAGTGTACATATTCTATCTCAGCACCTGCCCTTTCACCTTGGACTTTATACTCTAGTAAATACTGGACTGCCTTTAATTCCTCACTCACATTGTAGTCTTTTTGATTTCTGCACTGAAGTACAGTGGATAAGAGGTAACATCCTCAGTACAAACCTACTGGTTACATAGATGACCTGAAAATTACTTTCCTTTTTTTGAGCTTCACATTTGTCACCTGTGAAATGAAGATAATACCAACTTTTCAAGGCTACTTTGAAAGTCAGAGTATCTGGCTTATATAAGTCACTTAGAAAGTGGTAACTACTCTTCTTTACTTTGCCTTCTCCCCACTACCCTTGAAATGGCCTGTATCTAATTGCCAACCTCATTCATCCCCTATCATTCACCTCCACCTGGACCCCACATTCTAACTATACCCAACAATTTGCTGTTCCTTGAGTACATCAAAGTTTTCACACATCTGTATCATTGTACCTGTATTTCCTTTTGCCTACATTGCTTTCCTCAACTTGTCTGCCTGGTAAACTTCTTACCATTTCAAACTGAACTGAACTTTAACTGTTCTGAGTGGTCTTTGCTGACAGTGTTATCATTTTAAGGTAGAGTTAGGCATTTTCTCATCTTTGATCTTCTAGTGCCCTACATAGATCTTTGTTGTATTACTTAGCATATTATAGTGAAAGTTTAGTTTATCATTGCTGTTTTTCTCATTCACCTGGTAAGGACTACCTTACTCATCTCCATTATCTAACATAAAAATAAGTACCTAACAGTCCTTAGTAAATGATGAATAAATTAGAGAATGAATACAGTAATGTGTGTGGAAATGTTCCGATGACAGATACCATCTAGTTTTTAAATAATTCTAGCGGTTACTGTTTTCATTGGTTTTGGACTTGAGGATTTATTGCAACTTTTATTTTTATTTTTTTAGGTTTTCACTATAGAATATGTGTGCTCCTCAGAGAGAGACAGAGAGGGA